GGGCCTCAAATAAGCGATTGAACTACAGACTTGCGATTGCCTTTTTTGTACGGGGTTCTGTGTCCTCACTTGTCTCCCCATCACATGTCTCCGCTTTGTTTTTACTTGTCTCCCCACTTGTTTCTCCATTTGTCTCCTCACTTCTCTCCACTTCTGCGTGTGTATCCGCATTTTGTCTCACTGGTCTCCCCTCTTGTCTCCCCACTTGTTTGCTGTGATCGGTGTGGGCAACTTTTACCTTCCGCTGCTGGTTTGTCTCCTCGCTTGTCTCCTCACTTGTCTGCCTGTGTGATCGACACTTTGTCTGCAGCTACTGGCGACACCTGTCTCTGCCTGAGATCGGTGTTTTGTTGCCCTGGCTGCCTTGCCTCCCTATTGATCTCCCCCAACAAGTCTGCCTTTGTGTTTGCCGCTGCTGCCTTGTCTCCCCACTTGTCGCTTCACATGTCTCCCCACTTGTTTGCCTATGTGATTGGAGACTGCAGGGGCGGAGCCTGAAGAAAAGATGACGAGATTTGTGGAGTCACACGACACGGTGTTGTTGGACCCAGTCACGGTCACGGATGTGGTTTTGTGAATTGTACGACTTATTGTTTCAGGATTAGTTGCTATTTGGCGTCTATGTCATGTCAGTGTATTTCAATTAGTTTTCAATATATTCGTTTCTGTTCTCCTCTCAAAGTGGTCAAACCATCTGGACGATTTAGGCAATAACAATCCACTGGCACAACGTGTCCTTTGACAATAGTTTCCACCCGCGTTCCTGTCGTGGTTAGCCGTGTGCGTCTCCGTGAAGTTAGAGACAGCGAGTGAATTGACAGAGCGAGGTTGGGATTCCTTGGGCGAGTTTTTGGCAATGACCGTTGCCTTGGAGGTGGGGAAGCAGGGTGTGGTGAGACGTGTCCGGGTCAATTTGTTTGTTTGCCGGGGCTTTAACGAGTACAAAAAGGGAAGGGGATTGCTGATCCAACTTTGAGTGGTTTCCGTAGAACAAATCGTCATTGAACAGCTTCCCAGGACGTTGCCCAGAAGACCAACAATCCGGACGCCAAAGTTATGGCCGACACCTTGTCCATTGCCGTAGGCTTGCCAGACTGTTTGAGAAGATCCACATATTCTCTCGGGGCAAACATTCCTCTGAATCAAGGCCTTTGCGCTCTTATTGCCATTGACATGCCACTGTTTCCCTTCCTTACTTGGCTTTCTGTCGCTGTTTGTGTGTGCATGTCCAAATGAGTTCCGAACATAAGGAGTCGGAAACGTTGCCCTGTGTGAGGCAAAGTTCTGGATAGCGGCAAGTCACCTCAGCGGAAGGCATCTTTCTTGTTCGGTGCTGGATCTTTGTGCCTCAGTATTCTCTTCTATGAAGCCAAGCAACCAGTTCTTTCAAACAAGTGTTGATGGTATTTGAGTGATTTCGAGAAGGACTTGTTTGGGACATTGGGTAGTGGATGGTAGCGGAATGAACTGATGCAAACTTTCCACATCTTTCCACAGCAGGCACCGAACCCCGGTCAGGTTATGCAGCTGGACAATCGCGGCAGCCATTTCTACCTGGCCATGTTCTGGGCGGAGGCAGGATGAGGTGGGACGAGGCATTGGGTTAAACTGACTCATAAGGGTCCTTACAAAAAGGAAGGCAAGGACCTCTTGAAAGTTCCCTTGCCTCCTTTTTTTCTGGCCAGAATGGTCAACAATCGGGTGAACGCAGAGTTGATGGAGGAGTCATCAAGTATAAACTTCTTCCTCCACTGGGGTCAACCAGGCTGTAGGTAGCAGTGACATATAGTTCAGTGTAAACATGTTGTGTTGAAGCTCCTGCAATTGCAAAGGCTCTCATTTTCTTGCTCGACCAAGACTGCAGTCATTCTAGGATCCGGACAGCTTGCACCCAGGTTAGGTTTGAAATGCAATGCAATCCACTAAAGAGCCATGGCACACCCGGGCACACCCGTCCCAGGCGTTGGCCGCCCAGAGCACATCGACCATGCTCCAGGAGCTGGGCAATCGGAACGAGCGTTGGGAGACAACGAAGAGCTTTTCGTCATCAAACGAAGGAGCAAGGACGCAACTAGGAGCAAAGGGCATTGCTACTAGGAGCAAGGACGCTACTAGTAGCTCCTGGCATTACTACTAGTTACTAGTAGCAAGAAGCTACTAGTAACAATATATAACGAAGGCAACCATGTCCCAGGTCAGTTTGAACACTTTATGTTGGAGGTCAGATGAACAGCCTAGCTTTCTTCATGCATTTTGGGTGGTGGTACTGGGAAGATAGAGACACCTTGGGTCACTTTGCCTCTCTGTTGTCGGAGCATCTCTCAACTTCGATCCAATCAGCAGATCTCCATCTCGGATGACTAGTAGCAAGGACGCTACATTTGTTTCCTCCGTTTAAAGACTCCAAACGAAACAATTTTGGATCCTTCGGATCTCCCCGGATGGACACCTCGCCAGGAGCGCTTCGCGCCCATCGCGCAACAGCTTCGGGGCTCCGAGGCCAAGATCCTAGGCTTCTTGGCATCAATCAGACGGTGATCTTGACTTGGTATTGTAAGTATTTTCTAGGTACCCCGTAGTACTAGTTACTAGTAACTAGTAGTTTTCTTGGTACTAGTTGCTAGTTACATCTAGTTACTAATAGTTACCAGTGTTTCTTGGTACTAGCTACTAGTAGCAGCCCGCGTTATCGACTTCTAGTTTTGTGAGGTAGATTATTGACTCCAAGACCTAAGGTGAGCATAGATCTTCTTGGTCTGTTATATTTGTATATCTCTACCAAACCTGGTGAGCTCATGGTTTAGAAGGATCGCATGGTTTAGATGAACATCATCTTTTGGGGGCCAGATGACCTACTGCAACTTGTTGAATGAAACCACCACATCAAGTCAGATGTGGAGTCGTCCCAGCACTCGCACGACTCTTCTACACCGTTTCTGTAGAAGTGAGCTCAAGCTGGCAGTTGGTGCGACAAATCCTAGACAAGCATGCCCTGACATGGGATTTGCTGAAGATGCTAAGGAGAGTTGATTGCAGCAGAGGGCAAGCCCCAGGAGCTTGAGTGGCCTTGAGTTGTTGACACCTTTGACAGTTTGCTGCTTCCGAAAGGCTATTTAGAGATTTCGTGATTTGGCCAGCGTTCCTCAGCCGCCCAATCTCAATCTGGCTTATTGAAGATGTCAGCTTTGCGAACAAAGTGTAGGCCTATCCATATGGGCTCAGTCAACAATTGAATGAAGTCTCAATGACGTCACCCTTCTGACCATGCTTGCTCTCCGGCACTTTGTGCAACCACCTCAGCTGCGCCAGGATATTGGTGGCTTGGTTGCGCTTCTCAGTTCGGGTGCGTAGTTCGACCATGATGAAATGTTGGGCAGTATATGATAATATATATGATAGATGATTCTGGCTGTACTTTCACCATCAGGCCTTACGACAGCTTTATTTGCGACGAAAGATCAAGCTTGAAGACTGCTGACTCGACCCCATGATTTCTGTTACGGCTTTGCATGCAGATTGGACGAAACAGGGTTCTGCAAGGAGCCAAGAACAGTCAAGAAGAAACCTTATCGGATTGTCGCGATCCATCAAGATAGACCCTAAATTGATGCCTCAAACTGGGCAAGATGCCGATGCTTTAAGACACGTAGAGGTTCAGGGTTGGGGCAATTGCGGTTAGTTAGAATTTTTACAACACTCAGGAATGCGATACGGGTCAGCAGGAATATGTTAGAATAGTAACGCCAAACCCTTCAGGGTTGTTGTGTCAGACGTTCCGCGAGACGTTCTGCAAGGTGGCTACTACTCACCAGATCCGTTCCTGACCTCCCAAGCCATGCGTCCAAGCCCCACCTTTAACTCCATCATTGACGCAGTGCTTGCGGCCTCGGGCTTCTAATCACAGGTTGAGTCTCAACTCCCGTAACTAACAAGCAATAGTGGCGTGTTTGGATCCTTCTAAATCTTCTAACAAGCTGATGCCAACATATGTTGCTTTTGACTTTTTAAAATTTACAGGTATTTGTTGTTCTTCTTTAGGTTGTCAGCAATTTGCTCTTCATCCTACAATGCCTGGGATGGAACCAGGGTCTGTTAATGCGCTGCGAGACGCCTTTCTGAGACTCGTCAGCCTAATTTTCCAAGGGCTGGCTGCCAGGCTTTGTGTTTGTTGAGATCAAAACATGTACCGTAAACAAAAATGTAAAGCAACAAAACAAAGGTTGAGCATTTGGTTTGACACTGTTCTTTTCCTGCACCATGCCCGATGGCTGAACGTCAGAAAATCCTGTGAAGTCTCGAGCAGGCACCTCCCCTCTTTCTTGCTGATTTGACAGCGATCGATTTCTGTGAAAATAGCTCTTGATGCAGCCTGATCACAGAGCAGATGTGAACATGGTGATCAACTAGGTAGCGACCGGCTTCAGTATTGTTTGTGTATATACAGGCAGGCAGAGAGAACTGCAGGTTGGATGGTGGCTAAACGCTTTCACTCTTCGGCCAAATTGAATGCAGGGCTGGCCTGATCATCCTAGTGATATTTTGAAATTTGTTACTTTTTCAATGATCCACATCTGGATAACTGTTCTTTGACCAAGTGGATCCGATCGGGGAGCCAAAAGTGAACAACAGCTAAATGGCTGTTCAGGCCAATGGGATTGTGGACCATGCCAAGCTTGGCACCCTCAAGTTCAAGACCCTTTTCAAAGTGTCAGTGACCAGATTCTCGAATCTAGGCAAGCTGCACAGATGCTGCCAGAGAGGGTTTTATGGTTTTGCATTTAGTTTGTTTCAAGGCTTTTCATCAGGAGAGTTTTTTGACTCCTCCCCTGAGTCCCATGACTTTCATACATTGGTCCTTGGCTAGCAGATACCCTCATCAAAACCATCCGAACGTTCCGAACGGTTCGTTTCTTTTCTGACGATGCCACTTCGAAGAGAACTTCTAAGCGTTTGATTGGGGAAGTCCCCTGGCAATTGCCATCCGTCCGTTCTTTTGGTAGGTGATCTTCGCGAACCAATCCACCTGGCAATTGACCTTTAGCTGGAACCTCCGCCATGCTTCGCTGCTTGTGACCAATTGGCTGCAGAGTAGTGAAACTAGGTATTGTTGGTGGTGCTGAGATCAGGAACGTAGACAAGGCAAAGGTAAAGGCATGCCACGGGTCTTCACTACAGATCGGTTGGCAGGTTGCTGCTTTCCCTTTGCCGGCACCGCATTTTAGTAGACCTTGGTTCAAAGATCCTAGGCCAAAGCTCCTTGGCTGCAAGTACATGCAAGTACACTCCTCATGTCACAGAATGGTTTAAGGAATCATCTGCAAGTACAGTACTTTGTCATCACATGTTGCCTTTGCCTAGCTTACTCCGGCGACGACGTTCGATGGCAGGTGGAATGACATGCTACACTAAACGTGTAAACCTAGATGATAAAAAAACAAGATCTATGTGCTGTCAAGGAACTTCCGAAGTCACCGAGGCTGGATTTGCCGAGAGCCTCAGAGGCTCACTAGCCGCGCCCTGCTCGCCTCGGCACCTTGGTGGATGTGCAAAGGCCTGTTGATTGGAGGGATTGGAGTTTTCAGATCGGCTGGTTTGTTCAGTTTCTTCCACATGCTTTCCAGGGATCAGCTGGTTGTTTCATGCTTTTGTCTAAGTGGAGATGTAAGATAAGTCGTAATAAGTTAAACTGACTGCAAGCCCCATGTGGGTGAGCTTTTGCTCCGTGTGCTTTGTTGTTGGCATCGGTTCAAGAAGGCCATTGAAGCTATTGATTAAGAGAAAGGGGGAGTTGTGATTTGATCGAACGTGCAAACCTAAAGCAAGTGGGAAACTATCAGGTTCCAACATGTTCTGCATGCATGATAGGTCACAACCCCTTATCCAGATCACAGTGACCAAGGTTCGCAGCACCGCCTTTGCTCATTTCTGTGGAGGGGAGACCCTTCAGGAGTGCAGCTTTTGCGTTGGACTGTTTGCTTGGTGACAAACGAAAGCTCTTCTATGAAGCACCGAAGAAAAACTCTGGCAGCGAACGAACCGCACGGACACACACACACAGATACTACACACGTAAGGTCTAGTTTCATAGGCGTTGCAGACTCAAATCTCTACAAATGACCTGTTTGAAGCCTCGCAGTACTTCTTCCCACCAGAATTCGTTTTGTCACATCTGCAAGCAAGGGATCTTGCAGTGGTCGTGCCGGAACTTACTCCTTTTGTGGCAAAACTCGTCGTGCAGGACTGTGTGGGGAGAGGAAAGCATTTGAGCAGTGCAGGCAGTGCCTGCTCATGGATTTGATGAGATGCTACGCCCATGATATGCGCACCTTGGTTATCACACAGTGTCTCCATATGTTTGTAATTACTCGCTTCGCAAAGAGCAGGCTTGCAAGGCTGTCAATCTGTCTCGCCGAACAGCAGACATGTCCCAAGCCGCCTTGACAGTAATCGAGCTTGGTGGTTTGTTTTGTTTGATTCGGGGACTGGAGAATGCTGCAAGTAAGAATACTAGTCTTAGGCCTTTTGGAACCTGAAGCACTTCACAAGCATGCTCTCTCTATATAGCTCCTATGGTCCTATAGGTGTGCTGATTGCCAGGTGTGAGATGCATAGTTGACTGGGGCGTTGAGGCCTGGCCCCAGCTTTTGGCGCTTTTAGGTCACATCCACACACTCAAACAAGACAGCAGCTAGTACAGGTACCGTATGTTGCATGCTCCTTTTTTTATATGGTCTATTGGAAGACATGAACACGAGGGATCACGAGTGACAGGAGGACAAGACCTGGGATGAAGCCTGAAGACTTCTACTCCAAGTCGCGTGCATTATTCTTGTCGGCTTCACCAATCGCTCCTTTTTTTCCTACCCCGGATGCTTCGTGTTAACAGAGTTGTTACTGTAATTTGAACTCCTTTGCAATCGTAAATTTTCGGGTAGCCTCAACCCGACAAGGAAAGCAGTGAGCCTGCTGCCTGGGAGACAAATATGTTGCGGAAGGTGGGCATCTTTGCAAGTGAGAACTCTTGAAAAGATTGCATTGGGAGCTTGTTTCCCAACCTTGCTGCTAAAGATCTGGACAAGTCAGTTGGATTGGTTTCTGGGGTCGGTGCTGATCATGTGCTTTCTGTAGTGGAACACTCTGCAGGTTGAGACACTGCAACGTGCAAAAGAGGCGTGTGCTGGACACGGCTTCCAAAGAAGTTTGCTTTTGTAGGTTGTCTGTTGAATGAAGTAGAATGAAGGACAATGAAAGCATCCGAAACTCCGAAAGCAAGAGAATTGCAAGATTTCCACATATGGATATCCTTGTTGCAAAAAGGTTCCAAGGGCCGTTTAAAAGAGCTGATTGCTGATCCAGGTGCTTGGCTTAAGTGCTGCTTTTATGCCCATCAAGCTCACATCCATCCTTTCACCGGCCTGTTGATCCCAGTGAGGCTTCTTTGCAGGTCTTCATGTGTTAAACATGTTTGTCCTTAGAGAGAGAGAGAGAGAGAGAGAGATTTTCTGAGATTCTGAGGACTACTGGAAGGTCACACGCAGATCAATCCATATTCTAGTTAGCAAATTTGAAGGGACCCTAGCCCTAGCCACTCCATCGAGAAGGCACTTACAGGCCATGCTTTGAGAAGCTGTCAAAAACAATAGCCTTGCCTGAGCACAATGTGGGACCCTGCGAAACCCCTTGGCCAAGTCGTCAAATAGTCACCAACTGCTCCCCATGAACACCCCTACTAGTAGCGTCCTTGCTAGTAGTAACAAGGGCATTACTACTAGTAGCAAAAGGACGCTACTAGGAGCAAAGGGCATCGCTACTAGTAACAAGGACGCTACTAGGGGCTCCTGGCCTTACTACTAGGAGCAAGGACGCTACTAGTAGCGATGCCCTTGTTACTACTCGTTTGCCAACGAGGAGGAGCACGCCGTCCGAAACTCTGAGGCTCTGTTGGAGCGCTGGACCGCGGTGGTCCAGGCCTCACAGATTTTTGGAGCTTGCATGGGGCATCAGTATCCCCATGTCAATGTATCCCCTAACGATGAAGCATAGAAAAGACCTGTTATTATTATCATGAATCATATGAATCATTGATTATCTACTGAAGAGAACACTTATATACGACACATTGATGTCTGCTTAACTGTGTTGGAGAGGTTCTGATGGTTGTTTTCTGAGGGCTTGACCCCAAATGTGGGTCTCTTGTTGCATGAGCCATTCGTTGATTGGAGTGTGCTCATTCTGGACGCCAGGATGGGAGCCAGCCTCCAGAGGACCTGCTATTCAAACCCGACAGTTGCAGTGGGATGTGATGAGGAAGCTGGGTGATTCAGCACGGACTAACCATGGAGTCTACATGTGTTCTGACTAGCGAGGCTATGGTACACCCGGGTAGTACACCCTCCATGCCAGGTTTCAGGCACCACAATATCCCTCACAACAACCGATGTTTGTCACTTCGAGGACCTTCGTGACCCCGGCGTTTTGAGCCATAGCCCTAGCTCCAAAGGTACCAGACGACGCTACTGAGTTGATCCAGGAACTCCTGGCATTCCCATGTCTTCTATGGATGGGCCATTGAAATTGGATTGACAGGAGTTCAGATCTAATAATATATATATATATATATTCACCATGACTTGAACAAGGATCCTTTCCCACAGGTGACAATTTGTGACAAGCATCCACTCCACGGGAGTCCCTATTTGTATCTCCCGCTCTGCTCCAACTCAGCCAGGATTGGCACCTGGAAGAAGAGGTTGCTGCTGCACTTCAGCGCCTGCGGCGCATTTGCGAGGCCGCCTCACAGGTCGTTGGTAGTTTTTGCTTCACAGAAGCGAGGAGTCAATTGCCGACAGGTGACGTGTTTTAAACTCTGGGTCTTGGAAATAACGAGGGCATCTACTCGTGATGTGTTTAATCATTGTCACCATCAGATCCAAGCAGTTTGCAGATATAGACATGACGTGACCCTTGCAACGGATGGCAGAGGTTGCACCTGCCAAAAATCGGGACTGTTTGGGCAGAAACTCTCGAATCTTTGCCCCAATCGTTAAGCCCAGATCGAAAAAGCTCCAGGCATTCTGCTAAAGGAAGGATCCGTGATGGATTGCAGAGATGACAAACAAGACTTCCCCAAGCCTCCTCTCTTTGGGCAACTGTTGGCGCCAATAAATCAGGTGTCGGAGAAGACACCCTGACATTGTGCCACACCGTGCAGACAACCTGCCAAAATTGACAATCAGCATGCCAAACGCTTGGAAATTGCACCCCATACGTCCGATCGGGCTGGAGTGCACATCAGGCTGCCAAAGATGCAGCCCGAGCCTTGAGGTGATTCATGTTCGTTGGTTTGCTCATTTGGAACGGCAATGTTACTACTTGTAGTAGCTTCTTGCTACTAATAGCGATGCCCTTGTTACTAGTAGCTTCTATTGCTCATTTGGATTGGCAATGAGGCTCTTGAAAATGGGTCGACCAACGATACTCGCCCTCACACTCGGAGTTGTTGGCCTAGTTGTTGATCTTCGGATTGCCATATTCTCAGGCTATACCGCTCCTGTTGGATGCTGAACAGTCAGGCAGGCAACCAGCTGCGCAGGGCTCGGTCTGCTGAGTTCGTCTTTGATTCCTGCATCATTTCAATCTACATGAGGCATTCAACTTGTTGGTAAACCAATTAGTGATATGTCGGACTGCCTTTAAGACACTTTGTCAAGGTCCATCTTTTGGCGAGACAGCTGCAAAGGGAGTTTAACACCGAGGACCGGAGTTTCCACTGCGTGTGAAGTGTTCTTTTCCTGTCATCATTAACAGGCAAGTCGTCTTTTTTAGGGGGTACGCCGGGGTTAGTTAGCAGTAGCTTATGTAGCTCCTAGACAGGGCACTGAAGAGCTCAGGCTTCTTCAAGAAAGCTCCCCCCGGTTGAGGGCAGGGGGTAGCTTCCTTGAATACCCCCTCGCATTATTGGTTTGGTTCCTAATATTTACTCGTAGTAAGTAGTGATTGGGGCTATCAGACACCAGGAGTTTGTTGCTAAGCTGCGAAAGCAGAAGAATTTGACTGAAAGGCTGCAGAGAATCAGCAGTGATTCCCACTAATTATAGGCCCTCAGACCCCGACCTGGCTCATGTCACGTCAGTGTCTCCCAGCGGTTGACAGTTGAACCATGGATGGGAGGAGCCAATTGTCTACGACACAGTCCAAATGTGACCATGGAGATTTTTCAAGGGTGCATCGGTGCATCTTGATTCGTCAGCGGAAGTTCACGAACAAGTTGGGGTGGTGTATCCAAGAATGTATTTTCTCTTTGATTGCTTTGGCGTTGGCCAGAGTGACTGGACCTGGTGATTGCCAATGCCGATCCCCCTGAGGTGGAATGTACATTGAGTATGACATTTTGTAAAGACGCTCCTTTGAGACGGTTGCATTGTGGCTTGAGTATTTTCCATGCAAACGGACCAATCACACCAAAACGACCCTGCAAGAAGCAATGTATAAATATATATATATATATATATTTGTATCTTTGATAGATTGAAAGTCCAGTGTTGGTGCCGACATGGAGTTTGAAAGACTGGACCACTGCTGCCCGGCCTTAAAAGGTACTTGAAAGCGTCTCCACAAAGATTGGATCAGGCCATGTTGATATTCATGTGTTACAAGCGCACAAAAGAAGCTGGAATTGTACACATTGCTTTCAAAAACAGCGTGGTGGCGGGGGGAGCTTCCTGGACTATCCTACGTCCATATGTAGTAGCGTCCTGTACCTACTAGCTACCTCTCCCTACTAGCTACCTACCTAGCTAACCTCTACTAGCGACCTACCCTCCGTCTTTAAAAAATGATTCATTTGTCAGTGTAGATCCTGCAGGAAAATATAGGCATGTATTCTGCAAAATTCTTCTTGCCTTGGACAGGCTTTGCACTATGCTGGTCAACATGGCTACATCTATGCCGTCAAGCTTGTCCGAGGCACTGAGCTTGCCGTCAAGTTGTTGGTGTCTTAGAACGTCAATCAATCACTGTGGCATCCTGATGGTACGTTGGGAACTGAATCTGACCACAGCGCTGACCCTTGCTGACCACAGCGCTCTCAAGCACTCGGTGCCCACGGCCCCTCACGGCCCGGTCAAGAAAGGAGAAGCTGCCATGGCGGCGCTGGCGCTGAGCGAGGTCAAGGCTACCGCGGCTACCCAGCAAAAAAAATTGAACGCCAAGAGCACTGTCCATCTGGACAAAACGCTCGAAGCTCGTTATGATCGGAGGTCAGAATGGTTTACTCTGGCAAGCAAAGCTGCCTGCATTCAAAGGTTTGCTTCCTGGGGACAGATGTTGTCTCGTCCACTTGAGTCCCTTTTTTTTTGCAAATGATTATATAGGTTTATACAAAAAGATAACTGTTGAGAAGTTGCGGAGGCTGTTCTGCTTGGGGCGTAGGCGTCGTGTAAGCATTTTGCGTAGGTGGGTGTTGAAAGACTTGCATAGGCAGTCTTGCGTAGGCACACCTTTGATGAACGCATGAGTTTTCTTGTTCAGACTTCTAGGTGAGAATATTTGTACACAACATCTGTTAAGCTTTGCAGCCGAGGAAGTGATTGAAAGCCTTCGATATCAAAGAGGGCCGGCAGGGAGAAAACCGTGGATGGATGAGGAAGCTGTAGGGGTTCATAGCTCTGGACTTTGTGGACGCACAGTCGCGAATCGTCGCCAAACAGCATTTCCAAATCTTAAGCAGACACATTACTTAATTAAAATATACAGTAAACCAAATCAGTCTATTACACGCTTTCCATGCGTGGTAGAATTGAAATACAGGATAGGAGCAAGGACGCTACTAGGGGCTCCTGGCCTTACTACTAGGAGCAAGGACGCTACTAAGGAGCAAGGACGCTTCTGACAAAAAGCCCTTTTCATCCTTTCTCGTCTGCTGGACGGATCTCGGGAGGACGGCAACATCACATGGTCTCCGGCACGCATCCAGGTGGCCACCTTCGTGTGGTCCCAGGTCTTTGAAACGACCATGGGCCTCATCATCGTGGGAAATTTGTTCCTAATCATGTTTGAAGCAGATCAGGACGCCAAGTGCTATCCTAGCCATCTGAATTCCGTGGCTGAGTGTGAAGATCGAAGTGACAACATTCAGTGGCTTGTGATCGTCAACAACATCCTGCTTATCATCTACACCGTGGAATGTTTACTGCGAGCCTTCGTGGACCGAGGGAGGTTCTTCTGCAACACGTGGAACAATATCGACTTGCTCACTGTCACCCAGCTAACAAGTGAGAGATGTAACAAACCTCTTGTATCCAGGGTAGGTTGCCATGAATGTGCATCGTTGGGCGCTTCATGCTTGCAGATTTTGTTGGTGACCATCCACAATAGACTAGGGCCAGGGAGCTAAGCTTCCTTCACCATCACCCTGAAGGCAAAGAGGGTGTGCAAAATATCCCGTAGATTCCTTGTCGCTTCCCTCGGATCAGCTTCCTTCTCTGAGTCTAAGTTATTGATTTCGTTGTTTATCCAATGAAAAGCTCAGGTTCTGTCAGGCTGGCTGAGCATCATTCTGGCCAATACCCCTGCAAAACTTGGCGTCGATTTGAGCATTTTGAAGCTCTCAAGACTGGTGCGTGTGGTGAGGGCAGCACGGGTATTCATCTCGGTGCCTGAGCTCTACCTCTTGACTCTTGCCATGAATGATACCTTATAGCCTTAGACTTTTGGTGCACCGAAGAGCTCACAGGATCATGACAAGAGCATTTACTGACCATTTGGGTTAGTACTACTGGCTGTGAATCGCTGGCGTCGATCGGAAGTCGTGTTCGAAGAAAGCGCAATTTGAGGATAAGTGGCCTGGGATCCTCTATCAAGGCAATCTTTTTTGGAGCTTTGATGCTTGCTGTAGTTCTGTCTTTTTGGGCAGTGATCTCTGTCGAACTCTTGCACCCGACGACTTCGGCGCTTTCGACTCTTGGCAAAAGCTGAAGGGGGGTGAATTCTTCGACGGCTCCCAAGTTCAGAAGATCTTTAGGAAAAGACACATTGTTTCTTACTGAACCTAACAGGGTACAAAACTTCCCTGCAACATGATCGTTGCTGCGGGTTCAATGGGGGTCCCTTCTTTCAGGAATTCTGCCTGAGCATGTTAGTTTGGCTGGAATGATTTCAACAAGAAAGGGCGACCACCATTTCTTCCTTCCAGTAGCTTCAGAAAACACTATGTCTACAATCTAGTTGCTGCGTTGGAGAGTTTTGCACCTGAAAATGCTTAGCATGGTGCGGCAGAAACCCTACAAAGCCTGCGTTCTTGCAGGAATTCGTTCCCGATGAATAAGGTCCACTTGGGTCAATTCATTTCACACCACAAAAAGGATCGACCCCACATTTCTATGTTGTGGTGACGGTGCAGAGATGCGCCACAACCTATATTATAAACAGCATTAAATAACGTAACATTTACATATTCTGTATGTATGTATGTATGTATGTATGTATGTATGTATATATATATGCTATAGACACATTACATGTATATACATATGCTCAGTGCTGTTTCTGAGAGAGCAGATGTGTTGTGGTGTGGGATGCATGGCACAGAACTAATGGACATGTGTAATGTCTTGGATGACCTGCTATACAGCCACGGTCATTTGTTTATATCAGTTTATGTGGTCATGTGGTCGATTTCATTTGCTGCTGACGTTCAATGATTGTGAACGATGCGCTTTGGCCTTCCAGAGCGTTTGGGAATCCTGTGTGACTCTATTTCAGCAGATCGTTGCAGGAGACAGCTGGGGACAAGTCTCGGTCCCACTGATCAAAGCGCAACCCATGACCTTTCCCTTGCTTTTCATCATTATGATGACAGTGTCCCTGGGCGTTATGAATTTGATTTTGGTGCCTCAGCTGCCTTAGCTTTTTCGAACGATGCTTACTTGCTTCAATTCACAGAACGTAATTATTGTGGTTGTCGGTTTGTATGGCGTAGCCTGTCATGCATCTTGGGCAGGCTGTGATCGTAGAACGAGCTGCCGAAGCTCGTGCAAACGACAAGGAAAGGAGGTTAAAGGAGAAAGAGCAGGAGCGTGCCAGATGCTTGGCAGCGGTTTGTTCATTCGCTGGCACCAGTTATACAGCTATATCCGCGAACTGTTTACATCTCCGACCATCCAAAAGATTTGAGTCCAGGAAGGTATGTGCCATGAGTTCGACGGCTTATGCCATGTAAGGCAATATGGTCGACTTAGCCAAGCTGTGTGCATCGATGGATGTCGATGGAAGCGGCTCTCTTTCCCTGGACGAGATGCTCCAGGGATTTGATGAATCCGAAGCATTTCAAGCGCTCATGGAGCATCGCGGTTGTAGACGGTAGATAGTTGTGGTTTTGTTTGGAACCCACAAGATCCGAAACAATACATTGATCCCACAATGACATTTGGATCTTGGAATCTGTTTGAACATACTGCAAGCATGTCATTCTGTATACGCAACTACAATCATTTACAATAGACCGGCTTTGTGGTCCACACAGCTTCTAAGTGACTGCCTTGGGATAATACGGAGCGACGGCTGTTGAATTCTGGAGCTCCGGAGACACATATGCAGTGAAAGTGCCTCTCATTCACATGGTTTTGCATGAGAATGTGGAAGAGAACACATAACTCTGCAGACTAGGCTTGGGGCTGCGAGAGGGATTCCAGTACCAAGGCATATGGATGTGAAGCGGGACGATGTGGAAACGATTTTCAACGTCCTGGATGAAGACCGACCGCCACCATTTGCTCAGAAGACGTTTTATATTTTTTTTAATTGAAGGGAACTTCCTGTTTGCAGCTTGTGCCATTGAGCATGACACCTTTTCTATCCTTTTCTGAATTATACAATATATATATAATTATATATACATATCACATGTTTTGGGGGCAAGGACCTTGACTTGTTGAAGTCCTTTTTGGGGCGTCCACTTCCCATCGCCGTCCCATCCGACCGAGGTTCGGGAGAGGTCTCCTATTTGGAGTTTTGCAAGCACTTAGGCAGCTTCTTTGAGAGAGATCCCAAGATTGTCGGCTCCCTCGTAAAGCACCTGGGTCTGATTTTGCTGGCCTGATATGAGTTTTTTTGCTGGCCTTGGCATCCTTTCAAGTCCTAATTCATGAAGTGAGAATGGTATCGATGGCCAACCAGACAAGGCCTAGCGAGCTTTCAAGTTCTGAGGTATTCAATGATAGAGGTGAGACAAGTCATCAAGGCTGGGTGGGTTCATGGCTTGGGATCAAATCAGATGGCTGTCCTTATTGCTGATAGGGAGCCTTACAACACCAATGAACAAGTCCTTGTAAAGGATAACCATCTCTAAGCAGTTCTGATATGCCACATGTGGTTCAGGTGGGAAGTCTAGTCAACCGCAAGGTCCGGCGGACATGGAATGGATTTGATTTAGCTGCTTCGCTCGAACCAGCCGGAACATTGAGACATATCGAAAAGGTATGCAGGATGATAAGTCCACCAAAATGAGACTTTCTGGCTAATTAGCTGATGTGGACACCTAGGGAGTTGCCAACATTGGAGGGCAAAACCCAGTTAACTTCCTTACTACAGTCTTGAAAACGAGGAATCTCAATGTATCATGCAGATAGAATGGTTTGTCAGGAGGAGGTCATCGCCATCCTTCACCAACATACGGAGATGCTCACGGAGCAGCGGCTGCTGCTGGACGGTCTTCGGCATTCGGCCAAGGCGGCCGATCTAAAACGATCGGACACGTTGATCTCGGAGCCCCAGGACGGCCGGTCGGTCCACCGTGTCATTTTTGGTCATATTGTCTCCTCGGTTTATGCGTTGGCATTTGGTCGTCACATGTGACACAATGGTTGTAGCCTTACAACGATCGAAGTCTCCAAGTTGGATGTTCAGAAAGTCTTGCCGCGGAAAGCCCTGTCATTCTCAGAAATCTTGAGCGGAGGAGCATGTGATCC